GGGCCCAGGAATGGGCTCCTGGGATGTTTTTCTGACAACCAAGGACATAAGGTCTCTTTTCTGCGGCTGTGGTGCCACCTGGTGCTACACACAAGGGCTGGACTCTGTGGGCCTCATGCCCAGCATGGCCTGGGCGTGGCCCCTCTCCCCCCGGACTAGAGAGGCTGCCAGGTATGGAAACGACGTCCCCTGGCACTGCTCGAAGGTGGCATGGCAGAATGGAGTGAGCTCAGGCTTTGAGGTCAGGTCAGGCTTCAGTTCCTCCAGTAGTTCTGCAGCCATGGACTAGAATCTCGAGTAGTTACGTCACCTCGCGGGGCACTGTGAGGGCTGTGGGACCCCAAGGCTGCCAATGCCCTTTCCTCTACCCTGACAGGCCCCTGTTCCCCCACTCACAGCTCAGCCCGCTGCACTCCTGCACTCGGAGGCCTCCAATCTGGATTTGTCATTTTCTCCTTTCCTCCCCCCTTCCCTTTTTTCTCTTCCTCCCTCCTTCCCTCCCTCCCTCCCTCCCTCCTTTCCTCTTTCCTTCTATCACCAAAGGGCAAAATAGAGAAAGAGAAAGCACCCTCCTCTGAGGCATGGTGGAGCCACAATCCCTCTCCTCCATTTCTCCCTCTGATCAGGATTTTCAAGCCTCTGGGGCCGGGATTCACACTGCAGTTGCCCAGGTAGGATCCAGCCCCAAGTGCACACTGCTTAACCACTGTGCTCTGGGCACAGCCATGAATTTATTTGTTTGTTTTTTAAGAATTATTTTATTCGGGGCCGGCAGGGGGCATGGTGGTTAAGGATGCTGGATTCCTACTATGGCCAACCACGGTTCGAGTCCCAGACCTGGTGGCTTACTTTCTCACTTTCCCTCTTTTTCTCTGACCAAACTGGCAAATAATAGTAATAATAATAAATAAAGTTAAAACAAAATAATTATAAAAAGAATTCTCTTATTTAACTTTATTATTATTATTTTCCAGTTTGATCAGAGTTGGGGGGGATGAGAAAGTCACCAGGTCCAGGACTTGAACCGTGCTTGGCCATGTGGGAGTCTAGCACCTTTAATCACCACGCCACCTGCCAGCCTCAAGGATTTGTCATTTTTTTCTTTTTAATTTTTGTCAGAAGATGGGTACACTCGCCAGAGAGAGACAGAGAAAGAGAAGGAAAGTAAAAAAGCATCCTCATGGGGGATGGCCATGCCGCGATCCTTTCTCCAACTCTCCCACCTGTGGGATTTCAGGCACACACGCCCAGTGTGTTTTGCAAGCTGTGGGGGCCATGACTTAATCACACAGTCAGACATGTGGGGTCCAGCCCTTTCACTGTCAGGCCATGGGCTGGCCCATGGATTTGTAATTTTCTTCCTTTTTTTATTTTTTTTTTTGAAAGGTTTTTGCTATAGGGCGTGTGTGCTTGCGAGAAAGACAGAGAGACAGAAAGTGAGAAATCACCCCCCCCCCAAGGTGATTTCCACAATCCCTTCTCCTCCATTCTCCTCTTGGGATCTTGGGCACGCACGCACATGCGCCTGGCGTGAGTTTAAGCCACCAGGTCTGGGACTCGAACCGCGGTCGACTATATGGGAGTCCAGAGACATAACCATTACGCCAACTGCTGGTCTCAAGATATGTCATTTTCTAACCTACCTGGCTGTCCTCTGGCCTGGCAGATTCCTGCCAGAGTGGAGGAACTTGCTAGCTGTGTCCTAGACAGCTGGGACAGGTAGACACGCAGGCCCTCAGGCCCTGGAGCCACTTTCTTCTTCCTTGTCCCAGCCCAAAGCTGCCCTGCCTGGGCCCAGGAGCCACATGGCTCCTCTGGACAGGTCAGGTGAGGGCAGTCTATGTTCTCTGTCCAGCTGGTCAGGGTCTGTGGCCACAGCCAAGGTCATGACTGTTTCCATTTATCCCCATCAAGCCTCAGCCGCTCAGGCCTCAGCATCGGCCGCAGTTCTGAGTCCAGACTTTCCATTTGTGCTCAAGAGCAGCTCAGATGGTTGTCAGCCACAAAGCGGTGACCTAGACCTTGGGGTATATCTGTCCTTGCTGCAGGCTAACTTCTACCCACTCTGCTGGCAGCACAGGTGGGGGAGTCACCATTCAAGGACAGATCCCTCCTCAGCCACTGGCATTTTGCTCTTCCTGCTCCCCAGGCCCTGTTCGACTGGAATGCTTTACTCAGACTCTTCTCTCACCTTTCGCTCTGCACCAGTGCGCTCCTCCCGCTCCTCCCGTCTCTTACAGCTTGTAGAAAACAATCTGCCTGTAAGTCTTACTGAGGTCGCTGGAGGGGACTTCTGACCAGGGTGATGGGCCTGTGGGGTTCAGGGCTCCAGCTTCCACCTGGCCCTCCTGAAGGCTGAGGGATCATACGTGAGTTTCCCTGAGTCCTATTCTTAGGGGACCCTGCTTGGGAAATGCTGGCTCAGAGACCAGTCCTCCCAGGTACCGTGGGTGCGGCAGTCGGCTGAAGCTGGGTGATTCTTCTGCTCCCTCTCATCTGTGGGTGCTCCGCTTCCTCCAGTGCCTACAGTGGCCATCGGATCTCCTGGGAGGGAAGGTCTCTGAGAGGCCCTCTGGTGGCTGACAGCCTCTCCAAGTTCATTTTCTCCCAGGCCTCCCTTCTTACCCCTCCTCCTATCCCTGTAAACTGCAGAAAGAACCTGGCCCATCTGATAAGAAGCAATAGTAATTATTTAAATTTATTTTGGGGGGGGAGAGGTTTTTGCTATAGGGCACATATGCTCACCAGAAAGACAGACACAGAGACAGAAAGTGAGAAATCACCCCCCGGGGGGATAGCTGCACGGCAATCCCTTCTCCTCTCAGGATCTTGGGCATGTGCACACACACGCCTGGTGTGAATTCAAGCCATCGGGTCCGGGACTTGAACCACAGTTGACTACATGGGAGTCCAGCGACATAGCCATTATGCCATTACTGCTGGTCCCAGCAATAGCAATTTAAAAAAAAAGATTAAATATATATATGTGTGTGTGTGTGTGTATATATATATATAATTTTATTTATTCATTAATTTATTTTTAATTTGACCAGAGAGAGAGACACAGAGAGAAGAAAAGCAAGAAAGCAAGCCACCAGGTCTGGGACTCAAACCATGGTTAGCCATGTGGGAGTGGCCAGCCCCTTAACCACACCACATGCTGGTCACAGCAATAGCAATTTGATGGGGCTAGGCCAGGTCTTGCCTTGCTCTGAAAGGCATAAAACCGTGGTTGCTCTCTCAGCATGTAAGACCACACTGAGCACAACTGACACATCTCAAGCTGCAAAGACACATAGTGCTCGCAGACACAACTTGCACCACAGGGATGAGAGGTGGATGGCAGAGCCGTGGGAAAGGCACAGCTCTGCAAGGATTCCTGACCTGGGAAGATTCTAGGTTCGCATCCGAAGACCTCTCTGAAAAGTCCGGGCATGTGCGTGTTTCTGGTCCAGAGCTGGCTGGAGCTAGACCACAATGTCAAGACCCTTGGGAGTGCTGTTTCTGTCTCTCTAGCTCATGGAAGAGGGAGAGAAAGAGTTAGGGGTCAGCAGGTGGCATGGTGGTTAAAGTGGTGGACTCCCACATAGTGGGTCGCAGTTTGAGTCCTGGACCTGTTGGGCTTGGAAATCATGCCAAACACACACACATGTGTGAGTGCCCTAACTCTCAGGAGAATGGCTAGAGGCATGGCTATCTCTCCTGGGAGGGGTGATTTCTCACTTTGTCTCTCTCCAGTGAGTACACGGGCCCTATGGCAAAAACCTTAAAAACAACCAAAACACACCTTAAAAGAGCAAGAAAGAGGGTGAAGGGCTCAAATGAACAATGAGTTAAAAAAAAGCCAGCACTGTGAGGTGGTAACTAGAAACCACTGGAATAAGGCGCAAGGCCCCTGGCAGCTCCCGGGATCACAAAGGTGGTGCTCTCTGCACTGCGGAGTAAGTCACAGGAGCCGAGGGGACCAGGACGGCAGCAGTGCCTCCAGTCCCCATCTCATCACTTGTTAGGCATTCCCACTCAGGGGAACACTCAACGCTGAAACATGAGGCCTAGTGTTTTTTTAAGTTTAACTTTATTTATTTTGACCAGAGAGGGACAGAGAGAGAGGGAGAGAAAGTGAGAAAGCAAGCCGCCAGCCCCAGGACTTGAACTGAGGTCGGCCATGTGGGACTCCAGCACCCCCACCCACCACGCCACCTGCAGGCCCTGAGGCCTAGCTTTCAGTCACTTCCTTCCCCATGGCTCATGCAACCTCACAGCCCACACTACCAATACCTCTGTGGCAACAGCCAAGCTCTCCAGCTATCCGCCGTATCCACACCTTCACCCCTGCTGCCTCCTGCCCCAAGAACACAGCAGCCAACAGCTTAGAAGAGGGTCCAAACTAGGGAGGGAACTCCCCACTCCAGAACCTCCTACAGTCTTCAATTTTCCTTATTCTCCCACTTCAAACATGCTCCGTGACATAGTCATGTCCAGTATCCTAACATCCCGTGACTGTGTCCCACCTAGCTCTGCTTTCTCTAAGCATAAGTCCTTTAGTGCAATCTTGTTAGAGGCTTTGGCTATGCATAGAATTAACTGGCACGATTCCAAGCCTTTCCAGGTGACTTTAATGCATTATTAAATACTCACAATAGTTCTGGCAATGTCTGGGACTTGAACTTTGGCTGCAGCATTTACTAAGTTACCCAACTCTGTTGTTACAGTACATGTTGTCTCAGCAGACCAAGAGCCTCACATCTCAGACCTACAGAATTAGAAAGCTATAGGTGATTCACGTCCATATTTCTGGCCTGAATCCAAGCCCTGCTACCTCACCCATGAAATTCTCTCACCACTCAATGAGGGCCTAAATGAAACCAGCCAGCTAGCAGCGTCCATGGCACAGAACGCATGAAACGTTGACCAGATTATGAGCAGGTGGCCCATCCATCAGCCTGGTACACCCAGCTGGTCTAAAGAGGGTAAGGTATTTATGTGATACAAAGCCAGCCTGACGTTTAAAATGGAAACATCACTTTTATTGACAGTTTAGGACCACAACAGACAGTTTCACAGAACAGAAACAAGACAGTTCCAAGACGCCGGAGTGTAAACTGCACTGACAGGTCAATACTCTTCACCCTCATCCTCCCCCTCAGCACTGTCTGCTCCAACCTCCTCATAATCCTTCTCAAGGGCAGCCATGTCCTCTCGGGCCTCAGAAAACTCTCCTTCCTCCATCCCCTCACCTACGTACCAGTGAACGAAGGCACGCTTGGCATACATCAGGTCAAACTTGTGGTCCAGGCGAGCCCAGGCCTCAGCAATGGCTGTGGTGTTGCTCAGCATGCACACAGCACGCTGCACCTTGGCCAGGTCTCCCCCAGGCACCACAGTGGGAGGCTGGTAGTTAATGCCAACCTTAAAGCCAGTGGGGCACCAATCCACAAACTGGATGGTGCGCTTGGTCTTGATGGTGGCAATGGCAGCATTGACATCTTTGGGAACCACATCGCCACGGTACAACAGGCAACAAGCCATGTATTTACCATGGCGAGGGTCGCATTTCACCATCTGGTTGGCAGGCTCAAAGCAAGCCTTGTTGATCTCTGTTACAGAAAGCTGTTCATGGAAGGCTTTCTCAGCAGAGATGACAGGGGCATATGTGGCCAGAGAGAAGTGGATGCGGGGACAGGGCACCAGGTTGGTCTGGAATTCTGTCAGATCGACATTCAGGGCTCCATCAAATCTAAGAGAAGCAGTGATGGAGGACACAATCTGGCTAATAAGGCGGTTGAGGTTAGTGTAGGTTGGGCGTTCAATGTCGAGGTTTCTACGACAGATGTCATAGATGGCCTCGTTGTCTACCATGAAGGCACAGTCAGAGTGCTCCAGGGTGGTGTGGGTGGTGAGGATGGAGTTGTAGGGCTCAACGACAGCCGTGGAGACCTGGGGGGCTGGGTAGATGGAGAACTCCAGCTTGGACTTCTTGCCATAATCCACTGAGAGCCGCTCCATCAGCAGGGAGGGGAAGCCAGAACCAGTTCCCCCACCAAAGCTGTGGAAAACCAAGAAGCCCTGCAGACCTGTGCACTGGTCAGCCTGCAAAAGAAGAGTTTTAATTTCAGTTTTGAGAGACATCGGGCGAATACGACAATGGACTTCTATGAACCCATGAGCATACGAGCATATTAACCAAGTCAGATACTAAAACTCTTCTTGCTAAGAGAGCCATCAGGAGAAAACTTTCCAAACATCAACTCTGGGGAGGAAAATCATCTGCTAAAACATCCATTTAAAAATCAACTATTTTCATTTCATTTCTGCAAGTTGTGTAGTGGTTAAGGCACCAGATTCCCACCTGGCTGACCATGGTTCGAGTCTTGGACCTGGCAGCTTATAAATCATGCCGGACACATGCACATGCCCAAAAATCCCAGGAGGAGAAGGGATTGTGCTCTGGCCGTTCCCACTGCAGGGGAGGAGTGAAGGGGTGACTTCTCACTTTCCCATCACTCTCTTTGGTACACACACACACCCTATGGCAAAAACTTAAAAACTACAAAACTATTTTCATTTCCTCAGCCAGAAGGGTCACAAGGTCTAGAATTACCAATTTACTGGACTCCAGTTTTAGGTACCAAGAGGGCGGATTCCAATGCCCTCGCTGTGGCTGCAGAACAAGGGCAACTTCTTGTCAACTGGAGTGCTACCAGGGACCACCAGCCTGGTACAATGGACATCTCAGAGAGGTGGCAGCTGCTTTCTGAATAGGAATACTACAGCGCTTGCCAAGTCCAGTGGCCAGGTGCTAGAATCAGGCTGGGTCTGGATCCGGCTCTACCAGTTTTTCTCCGTGTGACTATGACCAACTCATTCTCTCATTAAATGAAAGTAGTAATCTACCTCAGGTTGTTGGGAATTAATGAGTCCTTGGCACTTCAAGTACTCAGTACATGGCACTGGCTATCTAAGAAGCTTCTTCATTCTGGGTAAGGTGACTTCCATCACAATTCCATGAGACCTCAGATCACTGGGGCTTTCTGCCACGTCCACAGGCTCTTCTGGCTAGCAAATTGTGCTCAGTGAAGGGATGAATGACTTTTCAAACCAAGTGCTCTACTGACAAACCCCACTTCTCAAACGTACGGAAGAGTTGTAGACATTTTCTACCGAGTCTTCATTTCGCTTCTCCTGTGGGCCCACACTGAGTAAAACTACCTGTGACTGATGTAGGGAGCCCAGCCCAGCCCACCCAGCTCACCTCTTAAGCCTCAGTGGACACAGCAGTAACACCAAGGACAAATGCAACGGCTTCAGCAGTAAATGGACTTCTCTCCACAACTCTAAATGGAGTTTACTAGGTTTATTTGTCCCTAAGGGCAGGCCCTGATTTCCAAGTCAGATCTTACAGCTCAAGCTTAATTTGCAAGTATAGGAACCATTAACCCAATTTTGCTGGGAAGACTACGATAAACATCTGAGAAATGCACCAGCCACGAATGATGCAAGGCCATTCTTTGTAGAACAGACCAGTTGTGGCCGGGCTTGGTGTGGTGTGATTTCCCAGAGAAGCTGCTCTACCTAGGCCTTCACGCTTGAGTTTTGGTTAATTACTTACAGGCTGCCCACATGCCCAAAGAGCAGTCATCTGGTTGCCAGGCTCTTAATTAAAATGGTCCAAATAGTACATCAATCCACTTTACCTACATGAACAAAGTTGCCTAAGACCTTTCCACCTCAGGGCCAGTCCACAGTGCTCACATTTTAGTAGAAAAGGGGTTCTGTCTCAAAATCTTCAAAACTTCAACAGCGTGTACTTGCTTCTGTCGTAAGGAAGCTCCCCTGCCTGTATGCTTCGGCTGTTAGAAACTTCCAGCACCGGCTCTTCCTAGTCGGTGTTACGGCAGCTCTGATGCTCTTAACTTTCTGTACTAACATCAAGCACGAGCCTAGTTGTTTTTTTCCTTTTTTTTTTTTTGGAGAGGTTTTAGCTATAGGGCGTGTGTGCTCAGACAGACAGAGACAGGGAGACAGAAAGCGAGAAATCACCCCCCAGGGGGGATGGCCACGCCACAATCCCTTCTCCTCCATTCTCTTCTCAGGATCTTGGGCACGCACGCACAAGCGCCTGGTGTGAATTCCAAGCCACCGGGTCTGGGACGCGAACCACGGTTGACTACGTGGGAGTCCAGCGACATAGCCATTACGCTAACTGCTGGTTCCCCCTTTCTTTAATCAGCTTAAGTTATATGTAGGAGTCAGCCACGTACACACTGTGGCTAAAATGACTGGGAGCGGGGGTCACAGCAAGAAGCCAGGAAGCATAATGGTTTCTAATGGCAGTAACATGGTTAGGTCTCCCTGGTTCTCACCTTGACCCACATAAACTGCTCTCACTGAATGAGCACAATTGCCCCAACCTGCTTTGTAAAAACACAGAAACAGGCAAGAGTACTTACCTCTGCCCTGTCGTCGTCTTACAAGCCAGACCATCTGACTTAGTAGTCTAGATAATTCAGCTGAAATCTTATTTTACTTGCAAAGGTAGATTCTAATCATTTGACCTCTCTTAAAACTGCGAGAGAAAATTCTCATCCCACTTTAAACACAGAGCTGCTTACCAGCTTGCGAATTCTGTCCAAGACGAGGTCGATGATCTCCTTGCCGATGGTGTAGTGCCCGCGGGCATAGTTATTGGCAGCATCTTCCTTGCCTGTGATGAGCTGCTCAGGGTGGAAGAGCTGGCGGTAGGTGCCAGTGCGAACTTCATCTGGGAAAGGAAGACAAAGCCGCCACCCATCACTAACAGCCTGTACAAGTCTGCTTAACCCTGGCTGTGAGCGTGTGAGAGTGAGTGAGTGAGTGTGTGTGTGCGCGTGTGTGCAGTGGAGCCCCAGGTCAGACCTCCTGTCTCAGCACCCTGGATCTCACTTGGGTTACTGAGGTCAACTCACCGATGACTGTGGGTTCCAGGTCTACAAACACGGCCCTGGGCACATGCTTGCCGGCGCCCGTCTCGCTGAAGAAGGTGTTGAAGGAGTCATCTCCTCCCCCAATGGTCTTGTCACTTGGCATCTGGCCATCGGGCTGGATGCCGTGTTCCAGGCAGTAGAGCTCCCAGCAGGCATTGCCGATCTGGACACCAGCCTGGCCGACGTGGATGGAGATGCACTCACGCTGTGGGAGGACGAAAGGAAAATGTCAGAATGTGACAGATCAGATAGGACGCCCGCTCGGGAATGATTCACACCCAATGACTAAACTTCCTGGTGGATAACCACTTTTCTGAAGGCCACTCTTTGCCTATTCCATAAGCAAATATCTTTAAAGACCTAATTCAGGGAAAATGCTTTGGAACACCAAAGACATGCCAGTGAATCACTAGGCAAGGCCACACTCTTGCCTTACAGCCAGTAAGATGTTCCAGGATGAGTTCCTAGGTTTTAGAATGACATATACTGCTCTACAATGACACATTTCCCATGGCTGCTGGGAAACATTCCTTAAACTAATGCAAATTCCCCCTTCCAGCTCTGACTCATTCAGATTGTGTAACTATGGAGCTACTGCTGGTCCCTCTTTAATCCTATTCTTTAAAAGACAAGAGCTTTTCCCTTTCCCCTTTAAAACCAGCTTAAACCAGCAAGCTACAGCCATCTGACTCATGGAGAAAATGCTAGATAAGCAGCAGTTAGTTGTATTTTAAAAACTGTGGTCAAAGGCAGCTTTTTAAAGCCACAGAAAAACAATCTTTGGGAAGAACGTTTTTACTTCAGCCAGCAACACATCTTGGAGGGGGAAGGAGGAACACCAATAAAGCTGAAGTTTTGCCAAGGCTGAGCTGTTTCCTAGTGAGCTGCACAGATCCCTGGCACTGCAGAGGAAAGGAGCCTATGGTTTCACGAATTTAACAGCAGGGAGCTATCTGCTTTTCTTTACTTGTTGAACATGGCCATTTAAAAGCTACCAAACACATTCCT